CATCCAAAATGGAGTTCCGACGAAAGTGTGTCTCAAAGTCGAACTCAGCTGGGCGGCAACACCAAAGTCGGCTACACCACCCTCAGTAAGACGTCAGGGCACACACACGAGGCGCTCACCTAATTTGACCTTTCCCGCTGCAGATAGAAGAATATTCGCTGCTTTGATATCACGATGAATCTTTCCTTCGGTATGTAGGTATTCCAAGCCGAGCAGCAATTCTCGAAGCAAGACTGCTATCTGCGCTTCTGGAAAGACGCCCGGCTTGAGGAGGTCGAGGCAAGAGCCACCCGCAAGGTACTCCATAATAATCCAAAGTTTGTATCCTCGGACGAACGAGCCGTAGTAGCGGGTAACATAGTCGGAATCGCATTGAGCAAGGTGAGCGATTTCCTGTTGGATTTCGGAAATATCATCGTCGGTGTCCTCCAAGTCGATTTGTTTAACCGCTACAACATGGCCAGTCTTGTCTGTCCTAAGAACACCAAGGAGTCAACGGTCGGCCACACCATCAGTTGATTACTCACGCCTTGTATACCGTGCCAAAGCTCCCAGTACCGAGTTTCTCGAGTAGCGTGTACTGTGAAGAGGGATCCGAGGATGGTATGGCCGGTCGATATCCATTGGGAAGTGGCTGACGCGCAACTGGTGAAGTTGGGGAGGCGGGTGATGAGGAAGCGGGTGACCTGGGCTAATATAAAATGTCAGCAACAATATGTCACGTATCAGACGCGTCTACTGACCATCTCGTCTCAACCTAGGTGTTGGAAGGGGGCTCAAATGCGCAATATAGAGTAGCCAAGCCAAGCGCTATGGACGCCAACATCAAGCATCGCCATCAAATGCGTGTGGGGAGAGATATCCAGAAACGGAAGGTGTCTCAGCGCCATAACACTTGGTATAACAAGACGGACTTGCCTAGGTCTTGTGTCAGAAATTGAGAAATTGGGGTGGGCGATTCACGAGAAATGCGAGTCGAGGCGGGTCGCGGAACACTTTGAGAAAGGGGGTGCCTCATTGCAATCGCGCGTCATTCAGGGTCTGCGCCAAACAGCGGGTAAATTAGTTTACGCGTGATTGTGCGTCGCTTATCCAGCAATATGTTGTCCAAGTTGACCTAAGTCTCTGCATAGGATTTACAACCTACTTTCAACCCCGCTGGCCGTCTAAGAACCGGGAAATCTCAATCGGAAGTGCCCAAGTAATGCCTAATGACCTGACAGGCCGGCCTTGTGCAGCCATATACACTTGTGGTCAAAAGAATTGACTCGCCTGCAACTCCAACACACACCTCATGTATGCATCATATTTAGTACATTACATGCATATAGCATATGTACCATGTGGTCGCTTAATATGCACGGAGAATCGGGACCAGAATTGCAGGATAGGCTGGTGCCGGGGAGGGGGGGGTGTGAACAGGTAAAAGTACACCACCTCAGGGAGACGTCTAGTTGAAATATTTTGTAGGCGAGATTGTAGCCCTGAGCGATGAGACTCAGACGCACTTTAGATCATACGAAACGGATGTGCCGTTGCTGAGATACGGGCTTCACAAAGTCTTAGTTTTGAGCAGATTTTGGCCAAACAAGCGCCAACCCCTCTGGAAGACCTCAACTTTGTAGTGCTCGTATCTCAGCAACGGCACATCCGTTTCGTATGATCTAAAGTGCGTCTGAGTCTCATCGCTCAGGGCTACAATCTCGCCTACAAAATATTTCAACTAGACGTCTCCCTGAGGTGGTGTACTTTTACCTGTTCACACCCCCCCCTCCCCGGCACCAGCCTATCCTGCAATTCTGGTCCCGATTCTCCGTGCATATTAAGCGACCACATGGTACATATGCTATATGCATGTAATGTACTAAATATGATGCATACATGAGGTGTGTGTTGGAGTTGCAGGCGAGTCAATTCTTTTGACCGCAAGTCTATATTGAAATAAGTTGGTATAGGATTAAGGGCTTCGTAGTGTAGTGGTTATCACTTCGGATTCTGATTACGTAAGCTTCCGGCAACGCCGGTTCGACTCCGGCCGAGGCCTCTTCTTTTTTGCTCATTTACCGCCTCGAAACCTCGGCGGTTTTCGCTTGAGGAGCCAATATCATCGAAATGAGTACCTCGACTTGACCACAACCGTGTCACCACCATGCAACGGCTTCTACCAGCTCATTTTTGCCGAGGAGGAACGAGGTAGGCTCTATCTCGAGTAGTATTCAAAGCACTGACACTTTGTTCACAGCAAAGGTTTATTCTTCCAAGAACATGCGTTCACAAAGATACCCCAAGCGACTCGAAATCGCATTATACTAGCTGCAATGGGTGAGACCTCGCAACGTCCAGGTTATCTCTGACTCAAATTCGATGAAAGGCAGCCCCGATCCAGACGGTCGTCAGATTGACGGGTCAGTCGTCCA